AAAAAAATTTTTTTAACATAAACTATGAAAATCTCTTGGTCTCTTGTTTGACAATGTTATTCGTGGTGCTTTATTTAACTCTACAAACATTTAGCATTAATTTTTCTTAGAAAATTTGAAATAAAAATGCTTGTCCATTACAAGCCAAAAAAAAGGGGGAAAGGGGGTTATAAAGCAAAAAAGGGTGTCATTGTCGCTGTCGTTGTTACATGTATACCTGCATATTATCACACGCAGGGTTGATACAGGGTAAAATTTAATGATGTTATCGAGCGAATACAATTTGGAGCATGTCTAAAGCGGAGCAATTCTATTGGTCAAATTGGTTTACACTAGCCAATAAAGTAGATCATTGGTAATACATATTGATAGACCCTTCCCTCCAATATTTGCTACCTCATTTGGTAAAGTACGTACAGAATATACCAAAAGCGAGTTTAGAAAGTAAGGGCAAACCATAGAACGAAAGAGTGCCATGGAGCAAAGCGGTTGTTGCTAAAAACTATGCCAACTATTAAAGGTTTTGGTATAATGTTTGTCTGATTGCGAATATGATGTTTGCGATTAAAATTTGTTGGCTGTACAGCTGATAAGCCAACGATGAAGCTACTTTCCAAAACGAATTGGCTCGATAAACTGGTGAGGGCACACTAAGCATTAATGGTCGATTTTTGTAATTTAACTCTTCACACTGACAGCCTTTTCCTGCTTTTTTTCGACAAACTTAATAATTTTATAAGATTGGCTTTCTGTCTTTTTAAAAATATTCCATGCAGTTGTTATAAAGACAACACTATCTTCTAAAGTGGTCTTTGGAAATTGCATCCAAAAAACAAAAATAACAACCCAACTCGAATTTTTTCTAATAAATATATTTATGATTTAATTTATTCTCATAACTTTCTATTAATTTTCTTATAAACTTGTCATAATAACACTAGCCAACAGACTGCTTAGAGTAAAGCACCATGCCCACAGATTAGCGTCAACATTACCGGCGGCAGAAAATGGGTTTTCTACTTGTACTGGTGTAGGAGAAGCATCGGCACCAGCGCCAGTATCATTATTTAAAGTTGAGCTTGTAGCATTGGATAAAGTACTAGTAGTACCAATAGAAGTAGTAGTAGGTCTACTAGCAGCAGAAGAAGGGTTAAATGTTGTGTGGCCAGCGGTAGTGGTACCTGATTGATGGGGGAATAGGGTTTGAGCAGAAAATTTTAATAATAAATATAGAAACCCAAGTAATAATAATGCAAGTAATCTAATAAAACATTACTAATACTACTCGATGTAGTTTTGACTTACCATTTATAACCGTCGGTATAAAAGAAGGATGTCCAGAGGATGTGCCAGAGATTGCAGTTGTTGTACCTGATGGAGTACTCAGAATTGTTGCTGCACCTGCTGGAGTACTCGCAATTGTTGTTGCACCTGCTGGAGTACTCGCAATTGTTGTTGCACCTGCTGGAATACTCGGAATTGTTGTTGCACCTGCTGGAGTATCCAGAGTTGGTGCTGGTGTCGAATCTATGTCAGTAGTAAGACCATCCGCGTCTAAAAGAGAAAAAAAGAAAAATAAATTTTACAAATTCACATGTTTTGGTACCAAAATTGTTTATAGAAATTTAATCTAAGTATGCGACTTATTAATTTAATACTATTGTAAGTTTTTCATAAATGTCTTACCTGCTCTGTTGATGTGCGTCTACG